CTATTGAATTGGAAGCCCTACTTTTTCGTCGCCTCCCGGGAGCCCAACCAACCTAATTATAATAATAATAATAGTACTCGATTATTATCTCATTTTCTTTATGAAATAATTTCCTGTGAACAAAGACAAGAGTCAGGATTCCGAACGCAGGACTCAAGGCTCAGGAAAAAAGGACATCCCCAATATCCCGCGCTAGTCCGGTTAGTCCGATTTAATTAAGAGGAGAGGCCGAAAAAGGGCTCCATCTGGGCGACTCGATCCATGGTCTCGGTCGACTCTCCCTGAATTTCGCTCTTCCAGCCCAAGAACTTCTCTCAACAGCTTTCCCCCCTGTGGATCGGGAATATTGTTGTCAAGTCGTCGATTGCCCTTACTAGTATCGATTTTATTATTATTATCAATAAAATTTTTTTTTTTTTTTCCTTTTTATTTCAGTTAGTGCCGTCATTATTATTTTTTTTTTTGATTATTTTCTTATTTTCCTTAGTGCTTCTTTTTGACTGGATTTATATTATTATTCTTGGGTTTTTAGTCGTTACCGCGTTGCTTGCTGGCTGCACCTTCTTTTTACCGCTGTAAGGGAAACCAGCAGGACGAAGCGACTCTAGTCTTTACATACCTACCTCATCCTCCGCCTTCTCCCATTCTCTTTCCCCCCTCTCTTCATCGTCACTGGTTCTCTTTCGCGTTTACCTCCCTTCGTTTTCCCATTTTATTCTATTTTATTTCTTATTTCCTTTTTCTTCTTTCTTACCCTTTTTCTTCTTTTTCGCCGTGCGAGTTCTTCAAAGAGACCTGGAATTAGGCTGGCCTTCTTCATCTCTCTGTTGCCTTCTTTTCCGCCAACCTTCCGTTCTCTTTGTTGACGAGCTTCGCAGCATCAGCGCCTGACTACATTTTCAAGAGGCTGGTCCCTCTTGCGTTTGGATTGCTTATCCATCACCTTCTTTATTCTCCTCCCACTCTTGTTTCGCATCACTTTCTCTTCCAAAAGTTTGCCTTTCTTATTTCCTGAAACGGGGGTGTTTTTGACTGTGCGTATACCTCCCGTTGTCTCAACCGTCATCCGGGCGCGACCGTTGATCTCGCTCTTTATCCATCCCGATGCCCCCCATTCGCGCATCCTCCATCCAGTATCTGCGGTCATCAAACTAATGGGCTCAGTAGGTATTTATTTGGTGTGACAAAGATGTACCCTCAACATGGTGCTCCTATGGCACCTCCTCAGAAGCCCGAGACCTTTATGCTTTCGAGTGAAGCGCAACAAAGCCTTCCTCATGATGCGCAAGTCGCACTGCAGCAAGTCGACAACCGTAAGTTCACTCCAAACTCCCTTGCTATCTACCCTGAACGTTCCATACTTTCCCTTTCCATTCTATCGTGACTTCGGGTTTCGGCCCAGATATAGGGGTCATCCTGGCTAAAGCCGAATAATCTTCTAGTGAAGTACTTCCTCCTCTCGGCCCCAGTGGACTGGCAACCGGATCAGCTTATCAGACGATTCCTGCTACCAACTGGCGACTACATTTCCTGCGTTCTCTGGTTCGTTTAGCCGGGGATGATATCCTCAGTCTTGGGGCAAGAACCTTAGAGCTGATTAGTGACAGGAGCAACCTTTTTCACATCTCGGGTACCGATATCGTCAGATGCCTTGCATTCCGATTCCAAGCCTTTGGTCGCCCTGTCAAGAATTCCAAGAAATTTGAAGAGGGAATCTTCTCAGATCTCCGTAATCTCAAGGCCGGCACCGATGCGACGCTTGAAGAGCCCAAGAGCCCGTTCCTCGACTTCCTCTACAAGAACAATTGCATCCGAACGCAGAAGAAACAGAAAGTCTTCTATTGGTACAGTGTCCCGCATGATCGGCTGTTCCTCGATGCGCTGGAGCGCGACTTGAAACGGGAGAAGATGGGACAGGAGGCGACCACTGTCGCGGTCAGCGAGCCCGCTCTGTCTTTCGAGTTTGATTCATCTCAGTCGTTGTATGAACAACTCACAAAGGCGCAACAAGCAAATTCATCTTCGTTTGCTGCACACGCAAGTACGACATATGGCCAACCCGCATCCCCAGTGGTTCGGACCGTTGACGCTATGCCTCCTCCCCAGATGGCTCCTCAGATGGCTCCCCCAGCGTTAGCCCTTCTCCCGGACGAGTCTGGCCATCCGGCCATGTACAGCCAGATCCCAATGCCGAACCCTCTGGCTCAGAACGTTGTTAAGCGCGAGCCGGATTACGGGCAGATCCACTATGATCGTCATGGAATGCCGATTGCTCGCATACACCAACGCCATGCTTCCATGCCCACCTTCGTCGAGTACTCGCCGGCTCCGTCGTTTGTTTCGTCGCAGTACGAAGACTACAGCAACCGGGGATTATCTTTTGAGCCCGTCACGCCTCCCCAGCACAGCTCCCAACTTGGGGCTGAACCGGCTTACATTGCTAACGAGGATACCGGCCTTTACACTGCCATTCCCGAGGTGTCTTCCTCGGGCGCCTTCAATCCAATGATGCAATTGCCCACCTCCAACCTTGCAAGCGCTCATTACCCTACCCCTGCGAGAACATTTCACTCCAACGTTTATTCGGTTCTCGAGGGCTCGCCAACATACAAGCAGCGGCGTCGCCGTTCTTCCATCCCCCCTGGAGCCTCAAGCGCAATTCCCACGTCGACTCCCACCCAGGTGACTGGGCCGCCCTCGCAGCCTATCTCCTATGCCGCTCACCGGCCAAGCGATCTTCGACGATCTGTCTCTAGCTCAATTGCCCCGGTCATCGAGGCCGATGAATCGCAACACACCTCGCGTCGAACTATGAATGGTTATGCGGCACCTACTCTCCCGCAGAAAAACTTGCTGCACGAGATGTCGCGTAATGGTACCCCGCTTTCAAGCCTGGACGAGAATGCCGAGCAGACTAATGTATCTCTTGCAAACCCCGCCGACGAGCTTACTGCTCTGCCCAATGGCGACTCTTTGGAGGGCGCTGTTCAGCACAGCGCCTCCAACAAGGGGGAGCGTTACGCGCCCGGGCCTGTTCGACGTGCCCGAAGCGCCACCATGATGGAACTTGGACCCTACCCCCAAAAGTCTCACTCCTGTCCAATCCCGTCGTGCGGACGGCTCTTCAAGAGATTAGAGCATTTGAAGCGGTAAGTCGCAGAAACCTATTTTTAACCGTTTCATCATTGGGCCGCCCCTTCTGCAAGATATGCAGGGGGTTCCCGTGTGACGATTTCTGTAGCCGCCCACTAACATTTAGCGCGCAGACACGTGAGAACCCACACCCAGGAACGGCCCTACCCTTGTCCATACTGTAACAAAGCCTTTTCACGATCGGACAATCTCGCGCAGTAAGTTCCAAGTGTCAAAGATGCTGAGGATTCATACTTATTCATTGTCACAGACATCGTCGAATCCACGAGGCCCAACAGGACGGTCAGCCACCACTTTCTGTCCCCGAGGATGACTTAGAAAACGAGGAGAATGAGTTTAACTCAAACGATGAAGGCTCATCGCCTTCTGAGATGGTACCGAGCACTATGATGAATGCTCCCAGCATGGTCTCAATGCCTCCTGCCATGACCATGCCTCCTACCATGCATCCAATGGTGGCACCTCACATGATCGCTCCTCAACTCCTACAGCAGCAGATTTAAAACCAGCGTACGCACTATCTGCGATGGAGCAACTAGGCTTTTCATCAAAGACCAAAACAAAAAAAAACAAAAAAAAAAACACCGTACCTAACCGGTCTTGTTACTAGGTTTGGGACGATAGCGGCACCGAGATTCCGCCAATTTTTCAGATTTCATAGACTTCTAGGATACCATTTTCCTTTTCTGATGCGTTTTTTGTTTGTGGATACCACTTCATTTGCCAGTGGGCTTCAAATCTCCTTGACTGCGTGTTCTATATTGGCTCCTTGGATGTTCGGCTTTCAATAGGATCGAAGGCGATACTTAGCACCGGATTGCTCGAAGTATCCCTTCGGTTCTATGAAGACTTCTCCAACACGCTTTCTTCTTAATGGGTGTTGCCAGAGTGTGGTGAGCTTTATCCGTATCGCTCTTGCCATTGTGATTATTTCGCGCGGGCTTTCCTTTGTCTTATGTGCTATGTTGATAATGGGGTTCTTTTGTCGTTTCTACCTTGTTTTATCTCTCTCCCTTGATCTGTTAAGGAACTGGTTGGAAAGTTGCAAGCATGTTGGGAAATGCGATGCAATCTTACAAAAGGTGGTCACCTTTTGAGGCACGGATATATCGTGGGATATGATTAAAGATTGGATTTTAGTGATGCTTTTCAGAAAGTGGAAAGCGGAAGGGCTGTAACCAGCTACATATTTACTCTCTAACAGTTATAGACTTTTTTTTTTTTTTTTTTTTTTTGAGTTCCCATACCTCCGGATTATCAACGGGCAGTGGGGATCCATGGATGGCAAACAAATCCCCGTAATTGTTCACTGTATGTATGTACTTTACACACTGACACTAGGTACAGAGTATGGAGTATGTAGTACACCTGACCTGCGATCGACGTCACGTCATACACCCGCAGGAGTCACGTGCCAGGACCTGCTGACACGGCTCGATCCCTGTCCAGCTGCGTGATCTACGTAGGACAAACAATCAACTTCCTCGACTCTGTACAATCCATAGATATGGCGTCTCCATGACTGCATCTTGTTTGCTTTAAATCCCACAGCTAGCTCGAGTTTTATGAAAGTAACCGTCAGGCGTCGTCGCATCTACCAGGCCTACCTAACTGAGAACCCCAAATATCGGTGTGTTCCTAGACCACCTACGGATAGCTCAACTCATCGGCCTTGTCCTTTCATTTGAACCCGGGTTTGCATATCGCATAGTTATCTCATTGCCCTGGTCATTTTATTCTGAATATTTAGTGCTTCGAGGGTCGATCCATCACAAGCAGCGGTCAACTCTTGAGCCTCCTATCCAAATACCTTATAAACACTGAATTAGTTGGTCAGCATCATACAGATGACAGACACACACGAACGTTCTGCAAACGAGACGTCCCCACTTGTGGGACCAGGACGTGGGCCTAACGATGATCCAGTGAACCCGATATCAGACCTTGGGGGACACTATACTTCTGGCACGGAGGATACACACGATATCTCGAAAACAAAAAGCAGCTGGTACCTGTTTTTGCTAACATTAAGCATTGGCGGGTGAGTTTTATGTCCTACCGACTTGTCTTCACGCTAGGAATCGGACGTTTGACAAGGCACATATAGTTTACAGATAGTATGGGCTGTTGAGCTCTCGAATGGTTCGGTATGTGTGATACACTCTGTTGTTTTTGCTTGACCCTGATATTGACTTTGATGGAACACAGCCCTACCTCCTATCCTTGGGTATGAGTAAAGCATTGCTCGCATTCGTATGGATTGCAGGCCCTCTTTCCGGTACACTGGTGCAGCCTTATATTGGTATCTGCAGCGACAATTGCCGGGCATCATGGGGCAAACGAAAACCATTTATGATCTTCGGCGGAATGGCCACGGTCGTGGCTCTGCTGGCCCTTGCATGGGTGCAAGAGATGGTGGGCGGCTTTCTCGGAATCTTTGGCGCTGACCCGGCGTCTTCGGGCTCCCGGACAGTGATTATCATTCTAGCGACCATCTTGATGTATTGCTTGGATTTTGCTATAAACACAGGTAGGCTTTGCTGAAAAGTAAACCGTAGCAATATCTAGGGGTCTATGCTAATTTTTTTTTATGTCCCAGTCCAAGCAGGCATTCGGTGCTTCATAGTCGATAATGCACCCGCCCATCAGCAGGAGTCGGCAAATGCCTGGGCTTCCCGAGTTACGGGCGTGGGAAATATCCTGGGATACATATTTGGATACATCGAGCTACCGAAATATTTACCCTTCTTCGGCAACACCCAGTTCAAAGTGCTGTGTGTGCTGGCGTCTATTTCACTTACCGTCACGTTGTTGATCAGCTGCACATATATCAAGGAGCGAGACCCAAGATTAGACTCGCCATCGTCAGCAGGAAACCCTGGGATTGTTGCCTTTTTCAAGCAGGTTTTCAAGTCAATTAAGAACCTACCACCGCAGATAGCCAAAGTCTGCGAAGTCCAGCTGGCTGCATGGGTCGGCTGGTTCCCCTTTCTCTTCTATGCCACGACGTACATTGGACAGCTTTACGTGAACCCCATTTTCGAGGAGCACCCGGATCTTTCTGATCGAGAAATAAACGACGCATGGGAGGAAGCCACTCGAATCGGGACATTTGCGCTTCTGGTTTATGCAATCATTTCCTTCGTGGCGAACATAGCGCTGCCACTTTTTGTCGTTCCCACCTACGATCCCGTTGTCCCTGCTCAAGGTGGCCATACGGATGGCAATTTTGACGAGGAACCTTTCCTGAACGACAGAAGAAGGTCATTCTCGAGTATCCCGAGTGGGGGTGGCCTCGAGACCTCGGCCAACATGGCGGGCCCCGAAAGATACGACACTGCCGAAGGACCGAAATGGTTGTCAAAGTTGCAGATCCCTGGCTTCACTCTTCGCCGAGCTTGGCTCCTATCGCATGTGCTGTTCGCACTTTGCATGCTCAGTACGTTCTTCGTGTATAGCTATCAAGCCGCTACGGTGGTCATTGGGCTAGTTGGAATCTGCTGGGCAGTGACGCTTTGGGCACCCTTTGCCCTAATCTCTGCGGAGGTGGCACGCATTGATGCGGAACGTCGGATCAAGCGTCAACGCTTGGAGACGGCCGATGGCGTTGATGCTCACAGCACTCATGCCTCATTAGATCGGGAGGCCATCGACGATGATCTGGAAACTGGCTCGACGTCAACCCCTCTGAAAGCAGGGGCAGCGGACGAAAATCTGGCGCAGGCGGGGATCATATTGGGGCTGCATAACGTGGCCGTTTGCGCACCTCAGATCCTGTCGAGTCTGGTTTGCAGTGCCATCTTTAAGATGGCTCAGAAGCCCAGAGGCGAGCCGTGGGATGACAGTGTTGGATGGACGTTGAGGTTTGGCGGCTGTGCCACGGTGCTTGCGGCCTGGTTGACCAGTCGACTCACCGACAAGCGCCGACAGTAGAAGATGGCAGGCCTATTGATAATTAAACCCCTCGATTCCTACCTATGTTTAAAAGCCAAATTTAGTTGCCTAGGTCTATTGTAGGCAGTAGAAACCCGAAAACATGGACGGCGAACGGCTGCTCGGGCCGGCAATCAGCAGGCGGACAGCTTCGAGTCTTGGCTCGCAACGATTACTTGGCCCCAAAAGTTCCCTTGCCGTCACTATCTCACACCTCCTTCACTTCACTTCCTCCCTCTTACATCCCCCGCGACTTTTCCTCTCAACATTTCTCTCGTCTGTGGATTATGTGCGCCGTGGTCTGGCGTCTCGAACTCACAGCTGGAGTTAATCATTTAGTGTTATCCGCCGTGGTGGCGGCCTGGACTTCTTAACAATGGCCAAACAACTCATGAGCGACACCTTCCACCAGCTGCTCCGTATGTCTCTTTCTTCCACCCCTTCTGAGGGCCCTTTCATAGCTTTTATTTCGTGCGCGCAGGCTCGATGACCTGCCTCTAATTACTTGTGGTCGCGCAGGAGGCTGAATTGCTGCTGACAGACGAATGGCTTTGATTAGGGAGAGCGGCGGAATCCGAGACAGACCCCGACGAAGGTACGCGCTCCAAACCCCTCCCACGAGACGAAGCTTGAATATGTTCTGACGGCGATGTTCGATGGCAGATGCGCCGGAAGCCGGAACCAAGGAGTTCTTCAGCTCCTGGGCCCTTTTCATCCTGATCATGCTCCTGATGTTTGCTCTGTTCACGAGTTACATCCTCCAACAAAAGAAGATCCAGGCAGTTCACGAAACGGTCCTGTCTATTTTTGCGGGTACGTTCTTTTCTGGAATGATGGAGACAGCATTGTCAACGTGAGACTTATACCGAGCGCCTTAGGTATGTTCGTCGGGTTGATTATCCGATTGAGTCCGGAATCGCCTATCCAAGACAGCGTCACGTTCGATTATCAGTTCTTCTTCAACCTCCTTCTTCCACCGATTATCTTGGCTTCGGGATATGAGCTGCACCAGGCGAATTTCTTTCGGAACATCGGCACTATTCTGACCTTCGCGTTCGCGGGCACCTTCATTTCCGCGATCGTGCTCGGACTGGTCTTGTATGTCTGGACGAGGATTCCGCTGGATGGACTGAATATTACCTTTGTGGAGGCGATCTCCGTGGGCGCAACGCTGTCGGCTACGGATCCAGTCACTATCCTAGCCATCTTCAATCTATATAAGGTCGAGCCGAAACTCTACACGGTGATTTTTGGCGAATCGATCTTGAACGACGCCATCGCAATCGTCCTGTTCGAAACGGCACAGAAATATGCGGACAGCGAAGCCGGATCGCTGTCCTTCCTCAATATATTTGAGGCCATCGGTCTGTTCTTGCTGGTGTTCTTTGGTAGTATGGTGGTAGGCATGATCGTAGGGATCATGACTGCGCTGGGCCTCAAGTATACGCACGTTCGTCGGCAGCCGAAGATCGAGAGTTGCTTGATTGTCCTCATTGCATACGCCAGTTACTTCTTCTCCAATGGCGTTTATCTTTCCGGTAAGTGGTTAGCCGACTCATTGGGACTGGGCTTAGGAAACTCACTGTTGTAGGAATTGTGTCGCTCCTTTTCTGCGGCATTACGCTGAAGCATTATGCCTACTACAACATGTCACGCCGAACGCAGTTGACTACAAAGTATCTTTTCCAGGTGATGGCTCAGTTGTCGGAGAACTTCATCTTCATCTATCTTGGACTTGACTTGCTCGTCCAACGGAATCTACAGTTCAAGCCTCTCTTCATTATGGTTGCCATTTTCGGTATCTGTATCGCTCGTTACCTCGCGGTTTTCCCGCTTTCCAAAGCCATCAACTGGTTTATCCGATACCGGGCTCGACGCCGTGGGATGGATGTCGCGGACGAGCTGCCTTTCGCCTACCAGGCAATGCTCTTCTGGGCAGGATTGCGAGGAGCGGTCGGCGTCGCGCTTGCTGCGGGCCTCACGGGTGTCAATGCCCCAGCCCTGCGTGCGACGGTTCTCGTCGTTGTCGTGCTGACCGTCATCATCTTCGGAGGCACGACCGCTCGCATGCTGGAGATTCTTGGTATTCGCACGGGCGTGGTCGAAGAGCTGGAATCGGACGATGAATTTGACATCGAGGTCACCAACGGAGGCACATACTACAAGCGCTCTGACACCGCTCTCGGATACACGCCTCGTCGGATGGATTCCACTATTCCTTTGGACGGGATGCAACGAGGAACAGTCGACCGGAATGATAGCTACTCGAGTGGCAACAATCGCCGCCCCAGCCCACCGCCGCCGTCCTCTTCCGGCAGGAGTCGTGGCCATTCGCGACTCTATTCAAACGCTTTCAGCCCCAAGGACACGCAGACGAGCCGGGACCGGTCCTCTACGGCCACTCTCCTTAACGGCGGCGGCGCCCCGAGCCATAGTGGCAGCAGCGCGGCTAGCGAGGATGAGTTCGGCCTGAGAACCACCGGCAAGACTCGGGTGTCGGATGCCGACCAAGTCGATGCCTTCGATCTGGACGTGGACGATGCTCCCTCGGATGACGACCTGCCTCCATCTGCACACGCAGCGTCTCGACTCCGACGATCTCCCTCCCATCTGAGCGCCTCCCAAGCACCCCCTTCAGCCAGCGTATCTCCCTCAAGACGAGAAGCATCAGGAATGAGCGCCAGAGATGCCATCCGCGATCTTTTTTCGGGCGGAGCGTCCGGAGACCATGCCGCCTGGTTTCGGCAGCTGGATGAAGATTATATCAAGCCCCGACTTCTGCTGGACCAGTCAAATCACAAGGGGCCTGGTGCCGTTTAGAAGATGTTTTTGTGTGCGTATGTGTGTTTTGTATACCTAACGTTTTACTTGACGCTTCATGCTTGCCTTTCTTCCCTTTGATGACCGATCTCCCATTGGATGGAGGGCGGAGTTCATTGTTCCTTTTTATTTTTTGTTGTGTTTTGCCTCGTTTATTGAGATTCCCTGATTCCTGTTCCTGCTCCTTTTTCATTTCTTGGCCTGTTGATGAATGAGACATTACTGGGTCTGGAACCCCAAGAAATCGACTGTAGTCTGTTTAGCGATATAAAGAGACCCGTGTGGATTTAAGACGGTCGTCATAGATGCCATCAACCAATCTAACAGACTTCAAGATCGAGATCGAGATCGAGGTCAACCGCCACAGGTAAACGGTAAAAATCCCATAGTTTCTGTCCCCCTCATCGACGATTCTCCATCCGTTTCCAATACATCCATCCCTAGACCTCCTCTTTGCTAAGCAAATGTAAGAAGATTACATACATACAGTAGCTACAATCTTATAGGATTTGTGCTCTCCTTCCATATTGATCCTAGATAATCCTACGTGTGGGCATGGCTTTTTTGGCCTCGTCCATAGCTACTTACTACCTACCTATCCCATGAGTTTTTTCATTCCCACCTACCTACCTACTCAGTAAAGCACGTTTCTCCATTCGTGAATGTATGGTTTTGGATCTTTATAATGTGAACTGCAGATGTTGATGTGTTATTCGATTGAGGTTTTGTCTGGTAATAGTCACGGAGATGAGCTACATACGTGGTCGACATGATGAGACTGGTTCCATGGAAAGGGGTGCTACTATTCGTGTGCTTCATGTTGCATGTTGGGAAGATCTATAGACGATTTGAGATGATGCTTTGAATGTAGAGAAGGGAGAAAGGGTAGCAAAGGCAAGAAAAGGAGCAGACATAAAAACTAAGATAAGTGGATGAAAACCTAAATTTGGAAGGTGCCTTGACTTGATACCGCTGTATGCAGTGTATTAGAACGGCTAAGCTTTCGTTATCTTATGCATAGTTACATGTTAATGTAAAAGCCGGACCAAAAAGCAAAGTACAAGAGAATGCCATATGCGAACCCAACGCCAAATCTCACACGAAACTCCATGCGCTTCCATGGCTTACTGTGGCACGTCCAGGACGTAACGACCGGCGATTTTGCCCTGTTCTGTTTGTGGACCCCTGTTAGCGCATCGTCCAAGAGATAGAAAAAGCGCGAGAAAGAATCGAAGGAAACTTACTCATCAGGTCAAAGATTTGGGGAAGATCACTCAGCGGAGCCGTCTTGAATGGTGCCTTGATCAAGCCACGAGCAAAGAAGTCAACCGCTTCCTCACCGTCCTGGCGGTTACCGACATAGCTTCCTTTGATGTTGATCATGCGCACCACCGTGTTAAACACAGGAGCTCTCAGGAATGCGCCGGCTGGGAGACCGATGGCGACCACGGAACCACGCGAGCGAACGTATTCAGTGGCCTGCTGGAAGGGCTTTTCAGCGACGGCGAGGAGAAGCACGGCGTGGGCACCGAGGCCGTCTGGAGTCGCGGCTTTGACGTCGGCGACGAGGTCTTGGGATTTGGAGAAATCGACATATGCCTTTGTGAGGGACTAGGGTTAGCTCTGAAGCCTTGGTACGTTGTAATGGCTTAAGAAGGGACTGGGAGAAAGAAGCTTCAAGGAACGTACTTCGGAGCCCAATTCTTCGCACATAGCTTTCTTCTCGTCGCCGGAGTCAATGGCGATTATGCGGAGTCCCATGGCCTTTGCGTACTGCTGCGCCAGCGAGCCCAATCCACCACCCGCGCCGACGATGGCCACGGTCTGACCGGGACGGGCCCCGGATTCCTTCAATCCCTTGTAGACGGTGAGGCCCGCACACAAAATGGGAGCGACACCATCGAGAGGGACATTTTTCGGCAATTTGGAGGCATGGGTAGCCTTGGCCACGGCGTACTGCTGAAAGGTTCCGTCGACGGTGTATCCAGACAGAGAGGCATCAGGGCAGAGGGGCTCGTCGGACTGTTTGCAGAACTCGCAAGCCATACAAGATCCGTTCAACCATTTAATGCCGGCATGGTCGCCGATCTCGAAGTCCTTGACCAACTGGCCTTTGGCGACGACAACTCCAGCACCTTCATGACCACCAACCAAGGGTAGCTTCACGGGCAGAGGCCAATCCCCATTCAAGGCATGAAGGTCAGTATGGCAAACACCGGAATATCGGATCTTGACCAAGATCTCATCCGCGCCGGGTTTAGGGATGGGGATCTCTTTGTAGATGAGCGGACCGCCTTTCTGCTCGGCGACCTGAGCCCACTGCTTCTCCGGAAGAGACATGCTGACCGATGCTATACAGCTAGGATGGTACGAGTGACAGGTTGAAGGACAAAGCAAAAAAAGTGGAAAGGCGATGAATTATAGAAAGAAGCTTGAAAAAAGATTTTTCTGACAGACTGTTGGACAATTGAATGTCAAACCAAGGGAGGAGAATCTTGCTGGGTTCTTATAGTCCTCTCACGTAAAAGCTAGCAGGTAGGGAAGACCGGATGGGGGAGGTGGGAAGACAAGTCCGACGGTGGGGTGATGTGAGTACCATAAGCCAGACCAGGATGACGTTGTGACATTCACCATCCACATTTACTGATTGTATGAAAAGTACGAGGAACAAGATAGTGAATTATCAGTCGGTCGTACGGAAGGATAAGCCATAGGGGACACCACGCGCTTCTAGACTCAGACTTCGCCTCCGACGGGCATAGCGGATCCCTCGAAAGTCTAATGTCAGCCATGTCAGACCATTGAATCAGCGATAGAGTTGACGTTCTATCCCGGTCATTTTTTGCCTTTTTTGCGTATTCGGTCTTTTCCTGGGCTGGCGGGAAGGAATCCATGACGGCCGCAGCGAGGAGGTAGAAGACGTCATGGAAGCGGGGGAAAGACCCCATCCTTTCTCCCTCCGCAGTTCCCGCACGACTTTGATGGGTAGTCACTTAAGACCCTCATTCGAGACCCATAATTGAGCAAACCCCGGGGGAGGAGAAGCTGGATAAGCTGGATGAACGTGCATACGGAGATTCACCGAGGACGGGAGTCTATGGTAGATCGCAAGGGTATAATCTAGAATTGGTGATTTCCAGGGATGTGAAATGCATTGTTGTCGAATGATTTGGTGGGCAGGTCGAAGCCGGGCCACGTCTGTTGGCGCCACCGCGGGTAGACGGAGATGGTGATTGACTGAGGGGGATCGTAGGAGGGGAGAAGGTGAAAGGAAAAGTGAAAGAAGAGGAAGAGTCCGAGAGAGAAAGGAAAAGAGGAAGTGGAAGAGGAGAGCAGGACGAAGATTAGTAGAAATGCTCCATCGCTCCTTCCACCTTGGGGGAATCACGATGTGGTGGCCAGGATATTCAGGCATAAAAGCTAGTCTCCTTTTGGAACTGACGGTTGATGCCTGATGTTGCCTGAGGTGTCTACATCGCCCGTCCACCTACACTACTCCGAATGAGTGTAGAGTGTAGAGATGGTAACTCAAGCCCAGTATGGGAACTTCATGGAGAAAAGAGCCTCCAGCCGACACAGAGCAGAATACCCGGAGGATACCATTTAATACCGCAAGTCCTGAGGACATCCGGCATCCATGGCGGCTTCAGCGGCGCAGGGTACGGTACCGTACGGGGCCCAAACGGGCCACTCCGCCATCGCCATCGCCATCACCAGTCTTTCGCTCTTCTTTTCTTCCTCGTTCTTGTCCTCGCTCTCTGGCCCTCCGTCTCCCCTTCCCTTCCTTTCCTGTTTCTTGGTTTGCTGGCCCGACGATCCATCAACCATCTCCCCTTTCCCTCCCCTCTCCTTCCCTCCCTCCCCTCCTCCATCTCTACTATTAATCGTCATCTCATCGGCTTCATCTTTATCGTCCGTTTTACTTCCTTATTCCTCTTCTAATCGTCTCGTTTGTCTGTCCTTTCATTGCCCAATCCGCTCCGACTGAACCCAACCGTTCTGTCGGCATCATCCACGCGACCTGCCTGGCGCATCCTTTCTTCGCCATACCGCAATCGTTGACCCGCTACGGGTTGGTCGGTTCGTCGTCCCAACACAACGTGCGAGATCAAGGCAATCGATACAAAGTACGTACCGGAGCGCTCAAAATCAGTTGGCTTTGCAGATCGGTCTGAGAATCCACCCTTTCGGACTATTATCTCCTGTGTTGTCTCCTTCTTTCTCTCCATCCTCCGCTTGATTACCCCGGAATAGTTACCCCCGAATTAATACGTTCGTCTCTTAGGGAGCGTCTCTAGTGACCAACGCGGTATCGTCGCCTCTTTGAGATCGCTTAGGCGCATTGAGAGCGGTCGCCTATCGTGTCGGCTCAGATTCACCTGACCCGGATCGTTCGCCCCTTCTTGACGTCGGCTATAACTCCAGTCCTTCCATCGTCGCCGTCGCGCTCCGATTACCAACGGCCATCATGACGGGGGCTCCGCCGTACAATCCCCAATCCCCTTCCCAGCAATCCCATTATCCCGCCTATTCGTCTCCGAGCAAGAACCGCCCTTTCTACCCCAACAATGATCAATACCAGCAACACCCTCCCCAGACACCTCCTGCCTTTCCGCCTCAATCTTCCCTGTCGAGGAGCCCTCACTACTCGCATGCCTCGTCTCCACTGCCCGCCGCACTTCCGCCTTTGAAGGGTAACGCGCCTACGCCTCATCCGTCCGATCCTTCCTCGCAGTACCAGCCACATTCATCGGCCGGCGCACCACCTCAGTATCTTCCCCGACCGTATTCAGGTTCAGTCTTATCGGGAAACGGTACTTCGCCCTTCAACCATTCAACTTCATCTCACCCTCATCCCTCGGGCCGCCCGGAGAGCCATCCGCAGTTGTCTCCCAAGAAGGAGGCAGCCTCCTCCCCTTACTCCATGGGGAGCCATAGCTATTCATCCATAGCGCGGGAGCCGAGACCAACCTCGCCCCCGAAGGAAACAGTATGTGCTCCTTCTCACTATGATTTTTCTTTACCCTTTTTAAGCTCTTTCCCTTTGAAGATCCTTCGTCACGTAATATGGGGGATTCTATCTTTTACCCATGTTCTCGTCGAGCTAACTAGATACCCCTTTCTTCCCGTTAGAAACCGGCTCGAGCTGCAGATCCCATGTCTTTCGCAAGCATTCTTTCTGGACCGGCCGAGGAAGCGCCTCCGAAGAAACCATCGCCCCCCGTCGAAACACCCGCTCCCGTACCGACGCCATCTGAACCGGCCCTCAGAGCCCGCTCTCCCGTACCCATTCAGGCCTCAGTCTCCCAGCCGAAGATCAAGGAACAGGAACTAGACACCACTCCCAGTCTTTCCTCAATCAAAGCAGACAAGAGACCCAGCAGCACGGAAAGGCGTCGTCGGACGGGTGAATTAGAGCCGACAGTGTCGACCCCTACCAACACCAATGGCCTCCCAACCCGTGCCCCTCCCGCGCGAAAGCTTCTTTCCGAACGTGACAACGAGGCTGTCAATAGGTTAATGACCGAGATTGATAACGCCGATAAAAGTGATGTGGAGGGACCAGGTTTCGAGGGAGAGCTAGAACGCTACCAGGCTCGAGGTAGGAAAAGAGTTATCGATGCGGAAAAGGCAGAGAGTGTCCGACGCAAGGTATGCATCCTACGCTTGATCGCTCCCTCTTCGTCCGAGGATATGCTTCTAACCACCAAGTCTAGCGCCGCCGAAACGACTTCTTGATCAAACTGGGCAAAACTTTTGAGAAGCAAGCCACTGCTGGCATGGATCGCTTCAGGATGGCGAACGAATCCTCGGTTATCGCCGAAGTGCAGGCCAAGGAGATACAGGATGAAAAGGAGCGCAAGAAGGATATGCAACGGAAGCGACGCCGAGAAAACACCGTGCGCCTGGAAATGCAGAAGAAAATCGAGGCCGAGCAAAAAGCCAACAAGGCCCAAGACTCCGCTGAAAAAGCGAAGTTTCTTCGCGAGGCCGAACGGGCTCAGCGTAAGATCAAGATCACCAAACGAGCCCTTGATGGTGTCACGGCCCCCGAAGAAATCGGCGAAGTTACCCCCTTGGCTCCGAACCTCGAAGGCGGCACGACCAGCTCCTTTCACATCGGTCGCTCCCCATCCAGACGCAAATCTGGACGCGGTGGCCCCGTCACGCGTCCCAAAAAGTCCAAGGAACAGAAACAGGCCGAGAAGGATGCCGCGGAAGCCGCCTATGCCGCCATGGAGAACGAGGAGCTTCTGCCAATTGCACCCAAAGACGACCCTCGGAAAGAAACCCTCAAGAAGGAGGCCAAGGGCAGTCGTTCCAAGGAGGCTACGCCTACTCCTCTGTCTGCTTTCGAGACTAAGGGTTACAATCAGATCTACGAGCAGATCTGGCGAGACATCGCCCGCAAGGATATTCCCAAGGTCTATCGCATCAAGGCACTCTCGCTCAGCACGCGCCAGGAGAACCTGCGCAAGACTGCTCAGCTGGCCAGCAAGCAATCTCGCAAGTGGCAGGAACGGACCAACAAGAGCATGAAGGACACCCAAGCTCGCGCCAAGCGTACGATGCGTGAGATGATGTCGTTCTGGAAGCGGAACGAACGTGAGGAGCGTGACTTGCGTCGCTTGGCCGAGAAACAAGAGATTGAGTCCGCCAAGAAGGCTGAAGCTGAGCGTGAAGCCAACCGCCAGAGGCGTAAGCTCAACTTCTTGATCTCCCAAACCGAGCTGTACTCCCACTTTATTGGTCGAAAGATCCAGGGCGCCGACGGCGATGAAACCGGGGACACGGCGGCGGAGGGCGGAGACCAGACTGCTCAGCCCGACAAGAGCATCGACGACGTGGGCGCCAAAGTCACTAACTTCGAGGACCTGGACTTTGACGCTGAAGATGAAACCGCGCTGCAGCAGGCTGCCAGGGCCAACGCGCAGAACGCCGTCCAGCAGGCCCAAGACCGAGCGCGAGCTTTCAACAACGCTAACCAGGACGATCCAATGGCAGCCATGGACGAGGGTGAACTGAACTTCCAAAACCCAACCAGCTTGGGCGACATTGAGATCTCCCAACCGTCGATGTTGACGGCGAAACTCAAGGAGTATCAGCTGAAGGGTCTGAACTGGCTGGTCAACCTCTACGAGCAGGGTATCAACGGCATTCTAGCAGATGAAATGGGTCTCGGTAAGACTATCCAGTCGATTTCGGTCATGGCCTACCTGGCCGAGGTCCACAATATCTGGGGACCATTCTTGGTGATCGCGCCCGCATCAACTCTGCACAACTGGCAGCAAGAAATCACTAAATTCGTCCCCGACATCAAAGTCCTACCCTACTGGGGT